CTCGTGGATGTAACGGTCTGCAATGGGAACTGCTACCATAAACCTTAAAATCCGGAGCGGTGAACCAAAAGAGGCCACAACGGGAAAAATTACGTAAATTACAAAATAAAATAAGAAACGAGACCGACTCGGGCGGTAAAGCTCGTATCCGGTGATGTTTCACAATGAAAAATTCATTTTTTAATTCTTTTACATCCTTTTATTAAATATAAAATGATACAACTTTTAGGAAGGAAGGGGCCAATCAAAGGGCTGTCATACAACACACAATAGGAAAAGTCAGGTGGTGGTGATGGGATGTGAATACATGACCTCCGACACGATGGTACGGTGACGCTACCACCGGGTCACCAACACCCACAATCAGATGAATTTCACTTTCTCTATAGTCGACCTATCATACGCGACGAGTTCCCTGAAAATAAATGGAAGCACTAAAAATACTTTATGAAACTATCATCGAATTAAAGTGTATTTCATTCTTTTATGCTGCAGATTCTATACGGTTAACTTGTCGAATAAAGCCTACATAACGGCATTGATGCCTTCGCAATTCGACAATGGGTTGACCATATCACCCTGAACCTTCGTATCGTAGCGTACGACGCTCAAAGTATCACTCTTTGGTAGACGAAGAAAAGCTCATCAATTACAACCCGCAATACGCTGATGTTCGTTTACCAGATACAAGGGTGAACTGTTTTGTTCTGCGATTTGGCATCATTTCGTTCGACAAAGCCAACAGGACCTACAGAAGCACAAACACACGAGATAAAACTTGGACGGAAGAACCCAGCTGTTAACCTAATGCATTACCCCTTTCGGATCAACAACGGTAAATACACCCAATTATTCTGTGGAATCGTTCAGTTAAAACATTAAAAAACCTATAGTTCACATTCAAACGGGTTATAGAGAATACCATTAAACTCTTTTTAAAGAGCTGAATGTGCGAAAAAGTCACGGTACAGTAATCTGTATAACAAAGGAAAACATCCATGGTTTGCAAGAAACAGGTTCGTGAGGTTTAGCATTGATAGTCATACATAGAAATGCATTTCTCGCAGCGCGTTTACACCTTCACTTAACTAATCGACCGATTATTTCCATTAATCTGAAGGACAAATTCCCTATTTCTACCTTTTCTATGATTTGAAAAGAGAAGTCAGTATAGCAACATTGCACGATTTATATCCTGGACGATTTTGCTGCATCTCAACTGGTGCCTACTGCAGACAAATACAATGTTTATCCATGGTTGGAGAATGAATTACAAAATAACCACTTGTAAATGGGGGGAAGCGTCACCAAGGCAAAACCAAGGTGATGAACAAGTCTTTTTGTTGACACAAAATTGGTTTTCATCGGTGGATTGCAATCGCCTCGGCTATCTTAAGCATTCTAGTGTTATCGTTAGTAAAAGTCACTCGAAATGCTTTCCCGCGATCCACGAGGTGTTGCGTTATCAACAAGTGCTTGGCTATCGATGAGCTTGGTGGTGCGTGATAAGTCCGGCTGGCAACCGATCGTAACCGTTGTTGGATTAGATTAG